TACTGCTGACTGGAATAACGGAGAAATTTTTGTAACGACGGTGCAGTGATGCAAACGCAGCTCGAAAAACAGTAAGCAACAATGCCGGCGATGCAGTGACATTGCTGCTTGTTGTTTTAACGAACCTTGTATGGTCTCGAAATCTGATTACCAGTGCTCGCCATCTAAGCGAGAAAACCTGAGCCTCGAATAAATGAAGAAAACAAAATTGATAAAAAACGCGTATTTTAGCAATTACAAAAACTCGGCTCGGCTCCGACGCCATTGAGAGAGACTCTCGTTTTTCTGCTAATGCTATTTTCGAGCGTCGTTTGCCGATACTGCCAGACATTTTGCCAGCGAACGCTGGGAAGCGATACCCAGACCTCGGCGGTTTGACGACCTGGTTGGGGAGGAAAGCGGGGAGGGTGAAGGGGTGATAGAGGGGGGGACGTGGTTGTGGAGAGGAGAGGAGGGACGGAAGGAATGATGGTTAATGGATATCTCGGTGCAGCTCTGGAGGCAGGAATTGGGGACAGGATATGGAAGGGGGAAAAGGGTACTAGTCACGAGTTCGAGGCAAGAACTGAAGGCAGCAGTAAAAAGAAAAAGCCAACACAGCACTACAAAGAAAAGTATGTTAGAATAAACTTACATAAACTTACAAAAAGTAAAAAAAAAAAAGCGAAATCAAAGAACTGGAACCTATGAGAAGCGGAAAAAAAGCAAAAGCAAACAAAAACAGAGCTTATGCAAGTGGAAACTGTCTTACAAAAACCTGTCTTCAGTAAGCAGTTTCCCTATTTATGAAGCTGATGCTTAAGTGAAGCTGAGGGCGAATAAGTTCGACTGGATTTACACTAAAATTCCATACAGTTCCAACGTGTTGCTTTCGATTGCCTGCAACTGTGCACAACAGTTACACTTCTGTTTTTCTGCCTTCAAAATCTAACAAAAACCAAGGTTGATTTCATCCCCGCACATCTAGTCTACCCCCTTTTTGCTCAATTCATATCTCACAATGGAGCTTACTTGCTTTCAGCTTTACCTATGCATCAGCTTCATAAATAGGGAAGTCCTGCACTGACGACCGGTTTTTATAGAATAATTGCCACTTGCATAGGTCCAGCTTTTTTGCTTTTATACATAGGTTCAGATTTTTTTTTTTTACTATTTCTTTTTTTTAATTTACTTTTATTCACAGACTCAGATTTGCTCCAATTTACTTTTCTTTGTTGTGCTGTGTTGTCCTTTTCTCTTTACTGCTTCCCCAGTCCCTACTTCGAGCTCCT